ATTAAAGAACAGAAACCAACAAAGCAATGTTAAAGAAGTTTGGGAATACTGTCCTACCAGATATCAAGACTTATTACAAGGTAAGAGATAAGTTGTGTATCAGAGTGAGATATGCAACCTGTGTAGGTGACAAAGGACTAATACAAGAATATACAAAATACTCCAGTTTATAAAATAAGATTTTAGAACTACAAAAGAAAAAAGAAAAAAAAACATAAACAGATACTTCACTGGAAGTAAAGTGGTAGGCACTTCCTTCAGAGGAAAACAAATGGCAAATAGCAAATAAGCATATGAAAAAGTGGTCAACCTCAGTAATAATGAGAGGAATGTATGTTTAAACAATTATGTGCTGCTTCACTTAGATTAAAAAAAAACTTTTAAAATCTGATAAAAACAAGCACTGGTGAGGATATAAAACAACTGGAACTTTCAGACACTGATGTCGGGTGTGTAAAGTGGCACATCCACGTTGGAAAGCAATTTGTTGGTATAATCATAAAGTTGCAAAGACACAAAACCCTAAAACCTGTTGTTTCACTTTTAATTGTGTACTTCAGAAATACTTGGCAATTACAAGTATTTAGAACTTTAGAAATAATTGGCCAAAATTTCCAATTACAAGGATGTTTACTGTAGCACTGTTTAAATAATAAATGTAGACTAAAAAAAGAATGGACACATTGTAGCACATTTTTATAAGGGAATACTCTGCCTCAGCAAAAATAAATGAGTTGAAACTACATGCACCAATATAGACAAATCTCAAAAATGTAATTTGAGCCCTATGACAACATTTATATAAAGTTTAAAAATACGAAATATTATGCTATAATTCACTTTGGAACCATGGATATGTAGCAAAAACAAAAACAAAAAGCAAACATGCATAGCTAAATACCACAAGCAGGATATTGGTTACCTTGGGAAGCATGATGGAGGAGAATTAGATTAAAAACAGATATGCAGGGATTTTCAATTGTACCTAACATGTTAAAGTTGGTGATTCTGTGTGCCTGGTGTGTTTCATTGTTAAAAGAAAAATAAAGAGTACTGGAAGGTGGATGGATCAGTTGGGCACGAGGTGAACACCAAGGGAAAGGTGGGAGAAGTGGATGAGACAATCTCATTTGGAGTAGCCTGGGAGGAAAGCCAAGTTCGTACAAGTGATTATTAGGTAAAAGTGGTCTAGAAAGGACTTAAAATGAAAAGACAAAACTTAAAGGTATGTTTGGGAACTTGGAGAGGATATTGAGTTGAGGAGTCACATTTTCAAAGTGAAACATAAGGGCAAAGTATTTCATAGCAGTATTTTGTAGTAACTGGTAGAAAAAGAGGACATGGACTGGAGAGTGAAATCTAGTAAGGTTTAATTATTTTGTGAGTGGCTCTGGGGGAAGGATTGGAGGCTTGTTTGCCACATTTTTGGATTCCACAGAGCTGAAAGTGATAAGTAATATATTTGACAGAATCATGATGTTTAAAAGGCATATTCTGGAATGAGGGCTTAAAGACAATAATTTTGTTTGCATTGTTTAAAATGTGGCAGAATACACTTTAAAAAATTTAAACTTCTGTAATTACAAGTCTTGATTCAACTGGAATGCCTTAGCACATCACAAGATAAATGTGGACAACTGATTTTTTAAAAACACAGAATATTTGACTAGTATTAGTAGTTGTTCTAAGCAATTGGTCTGAGCATTGGGCAACGATAAGTTACAATAATAAATTAGGACTATTCCAAAGGCGGGTAACCAGAATGTTAAGAGTGTAGGCAATACTTGGGAGCTTCAATGAAGCCTTCTCTAACAAGGTAGAAACAAGATTGTCCTTTGAGGATTAAACCAATAAAGTCCACTCGTATGACTGGGATTAGCCAGTACAGGCCTAAACCAAGACATTACTTTTTCATAGGTGACTTTGCAAGTGAGTTAGATGTAATCTCAGGGAGGAAGAGCTGGAATGTGATTGCAATGGAGGAGGAAGAAATCTAATCAATAAAAGTATTTCTTATCCAAAGAAAGACTGAGTAAACAGACTTGAGGAGAACAGCATGAAACACACAAGAATTCTGATCTGTATGAGTTATAATTTTCATTGTAAATCAATACATCGTGTTCTAATTTATATTTCCAAGTCTTGTGTTTGGATAGCATGATTTGGATAGCATTTCTCAGGTACCAACAAAATTGAGTTTTCCAGATCTGACAATTGAGGGCTACAACATGAGGTGGTGTAACCTTTCCCTGACACAGGCTCCTTCTTTTTCATGGAAAAACCCAAAAACACTAAGATGTTTAGCTGGGAGGAGATAAGCCAGAGGTGAAGCCTGGTGCTTATCTTCAAAAGGTTTAAAGTTTTTCTTGTAGAAATGGAGGGCAGACTCTTTTGATTGTTGGAGGCAGAGACCAGAACAGAGACAACAGTTAGAAAGTACAAAGTAAGATTTCATCTGGCTAAGCAGAGGAACATGTTAACCATTTGAACTCCCAACAATGAAACAGCTATCTCTTTGTCAGGTTCTTTGATCATAAGCAACAGAAAAAGTCTGAATAAGTACAGCAAATAATAATAATAATAGCAATAATAATAAGATAAGAGGTGGCCCACATATTTGAAGGAGAAAGTGAAGGACCAGGCCTTAAAAGGAGCAGTGATCAAGGCAGCTACAATGATGGAGGGGGAGGAAGTAAAGTATTGTTTCTTTAGGGCACCGTCCTCATGATAAATCACCCTCTGCTGATATCTTTCTTAAAATTACTGGGGAAAAACTTCTGATTTTCAAGCTTGGGCCATGTGTCTCACCTCTTCTCTCCCCCACCCCTGATAGGGAAGGGTAGTGGGCACTCACGGTAGGTAACCTTGATGGAGACGCCATCAAGGCTTCATGTAACGGAAAGGGACAATTTACCAAAGGGAACTGAGGAGCAGGTAACAATATTAGAAACCCAGCATATTCTCATCACTGCAAGTGCAGGAGAAGCCACCTATTTTTCAGCAATCTTCTGTGCTGGAAGTTGGAAAAGGCAATTTAGAAGATCCCTTCCTGTTCTACATTTCTGAAGAGAAACTGAGAAGTGGAATTGATTACTGAGATCCAAGGTCATTAGGAAAGGCCTAGAGAGGAATAGCTGGGGCTGGATCTGAGAGAAGGATGGGACACAGCTAACAGGGAAGTAAGCCATAGAGCAGGCATGGTGGTTCCATGTGCTAATCAGAAAAGGAAGATAAGGAGCTGCTGGCATTGGTAACATCAAACTTGATATATATAAATTAGAAGCTACCATTTTTCTTCTGCTCCATGAAGGGGTTACAGATATAAAAATGGAAGAAGTCAGATGTGGTAAAAGTTAGTAGATGAAGAAGACACAACAACTCCTGGCTCTCCAGAACTCCTGATAGAGTGAGATGCTATTTGGACAGCTTAAGGAATGGACGATGATCCTAATGACAAGGGACCTGCCAGCCTTAATAGTTAACCAGTGGAGCTATATAATAGAACTGAGTCACCAGTCCTAAAATTCTGAATTTGATGTCTGTGAAACAAGCAATTATGGAAACAAAAGAAATAATGATGGAAACAAAACAAATAACTGGCCACTAGTGACCTCTAGTGGAAGTAGGCTTTAGGGAACCTATGTGATCTTTGATTTCTGTTTTGTTTTGCTTTCCTATTAAGAAGATGAAAACCCAGTGTAATTTTCAGCCAATTTATTTGCAGAGGACTGTGAAAAAACGGGCTTCTGAAAACAGGACAAAAATCTTACCCAGAAAATGAAAATGTACCAGGAATATGTTGTGCTTTGAGTCAAACTAAGTTGATTAATGTTCTGGAAAAGATGTGGATGAGTAATTGCCATCAAAGACGTTACCTGAGAAAAAGAAGAGTTTTTTGAGCAGTGACTTCATTGGTCACTGGGGGGGAGTTTGGGATGTTAATGGCAGCCAGCAAGAGAAAATAGGCTTGAAGAGGAGGCTGCATAGGTTGCCAGTATACCTTTCAAATATATCTTCTTTGTAACATGGAAGAGCGCTGTTGTTTCTGAAATACACACACATTTGCCAGTTCAGTATTGTATGGCTTGAGCCCCACCACTTTCCTCTTCCCAATGGGTGTCTGTGCCAAGTGTTGGCAAACACTGCTGAGCTGGGAGGATGTGGGTGGATGCCTGGTGGCCCTAGGCCTTTGAAGTGGGACCAGTCTCGTGGAGGGTCCAAGTATAATCAAGACGGTCAACATGAAAGCACACTGGGCACTCCACATCCATCCCCTTTGGGAAGTGCTTTCAGAATTCATAATCTTGACATTGAAGAGAAGCAAAGGAATGCAAGGATTGATGGGAGGTTTTACATCTGTCTGATCACACTGGGGACTAATAATGGGTGGGTGGAATTAAATGGCGGGTCCAGGGAGCAGGGGTGTGGGTGGGTAGAAAAAGAAGCAAGAGAAAGATAAAAAATAGAGACAATACAGAAGTAAACAGAATTAGCATTATCAAGCCCTGGGCAACTGTCACTTCTGGCAGCCAAGCGATTGTTGTCCTTGTCTCATATTACCTGCGTGGCAGGAAGTGTCATCCTGCCTTCTTTCATTATTCAGCCTCCCCCACACACCCTGCTCTTGTTTACCGATGCTATTGTGCTGCTCTGCAGGTCTGCTTTTCCCTGGATTTGCTCCCTCTCCTCTCAGTGTCATTTCAAGGAAATAAAAATAGCCCCTAAATAATATTTTTGTGAGAATTCCACCCTGGTCTGCAATTTTCAGAATTCTGGTCTTTGTGAGTGGGCAAAAGACAATCTAACTGCCCCCGCTAAGCCATGACTTCCCTACTGTTATTTCTTAGATGCCAACAAAACCACAGAGCAGAGTTAAGAAAGACCCATATTAGTGGTATTTCCTCTTTCCCCTGCAAAGATTCTTCTGCCAGGGTATGTACAAATCTCTAGCTCTAGGATAGGCCATTTCAGAGATGTAGTCTGTAAACCAGTTTACTTACTGAGGATGAGCTAATTATCTTAATTTGCTCCAAAGCTTCTGTCAGGCTGTCTTCAATCTCAGAGTCATCTAAGGAGAAGAGGTCCCCAGCTCGTGAAAGATCTTTTTGTCCCAAAACCAGTCTGAACAGTTGATGCATGGTGAGGAGGAGTTTGATCAGTTGACTTTCTACAGACCCAGAGCCATGTGTTTCAGGTATCAGAGGTCAGTAAGACAAAAACATGTAGCAGGAGGTATACTTCTTATTCCATGAAAGATCATTTTTCTCCAGACTTTGAGGTCTTCATTGACACTCTCTGCAAGGGAAACAAATGACACAATATAGCCCCTGGCAGAATGGCATAAGCTCAGAATGTGAACTCGGTGTCCAGCGGAGAGAGAGAAAAAAGAAACTTGGAAACATGTGCCTGGAGTAATAGATCCTGGCTTAATGATCTTTAAATGAGCTCTTTCTTTGTTTTTGTCTCAAAAAGTCTTGTCAAAAATTACTAGGTTTCTCCAGAATTTAATTTGAACTTTAAAAGTCAACATGAGCCCCACACTTTTCTCCTTTCTATATCCTTCTCTTCTCTCCATGTCACAAGGACAAACAATAATCATGCCTAACACTTGCCAGATTTTCCTCAAACAGATTCTCATGGGAATCAAACAGAAAGGGAGAACAAAAGGAAAAGAGGGAGCATAGGAAACATCTCCTAGACCCACTTCCTAGAACACTTTCTTCCAGAACCTGGACACAGAAACCAGTGCTTACCCTCTTGGTTGGGCTAGCAGGAGAAGTTCCCCCCTCTGTCAGTCAAAAAGGTGTCCTCAGTACTTACCCTACTCCTACGTACTCTATAATCAAGTAGTAATAAAATAAAGGATGCTGCTTAGGAGAATGGCATTAGATAAATCTCTACTGAACATGAAGATGAACTTGAACACTTAAATGAACATGATAGCCTTGCCATGAAGGCTAAAAGGAGGGCTTTGAGATCAGGCAACCCTCCCTCTATTCCAGTTGAAATAATAAAGTCCCACTATATTTTTCACCTAATTAACAGTCTATAGAGAGGAGACCAAAGGCACAAATTAGACATCTGATTATTCTCATCAGCTCCCTTCTGGGCCTAATAAAATCACAGACCATTTGCACTGGTAGAGACCTTAGTAATCATTTAATGGCCAGTGAGGTTTAATGACTTCCCCAAGGCCCCATAACAGCTGTGGCAAGGATAGTCTCCTGATTTCAGTCCAGTGCGCTTCCCTCACAGTTTACAGTAGAGGGGAATCACCTCATACATGTGGGTAACTTACAAATGCAGCCACATGCTTAGTGAGAGCCAAGAGTGAGTTATTTAATATAAGCAATAGGCAATTCTGCCTAGCATTTTACTCTGAATGTGTTTGTCAGAAAGAGTGTGAAAAGGGAGAGGAGAATCTGTAGTTCCCTTGGGTAGTCTCAGCCCTCTCCTGTGAGCTATTGTTTGAGAGCACCTCTTTGTGTTGAATGCAAGTTTAAAGACACATACTCTTCACACAACATGGCCTCTAAATACAAGCCAAATCTTTAATTAGACACTCAACTAAATAAGCTACCTGTAGTATTCTAAGTGGTACAATTCATGAGTCATAGGGATTTTAAGGAAAATACTGCCTATATGCAATTTTTGTACTATCTACCAGCTTTTGAAAAATGAAGCCTGATACTTACATGCCTTTATCTATGTACCAGGCATAAACACTTTGTAAATATTAACTCATCTAATCCTCATAACTATATGAAGATATATCATCCCCACTTTGTAGGTGAGCAACCTGAGGTAGTTAAATAACTGCTAAAGTCATGCAGCTACCAAGCTGGAGAGCTGGAATTTGAATTCAGAGACCCCAGTAGTGCTAGACTCCAAGTTCATAACCATTATGAAATATTGACTCCATGTAAGATGTGAAGCTACTGTAAGGAGTAAAGGTCCTCAGAGCATTATTAATATTTAGTGATGAAGGTGTGAGCAGGGTTATTAAGCAATGAAATAAATTCCTGTCCCCTTCTACACTGCTCCTGGATCCTTGCCCATTCTATGCCCTGGGATTTAGAGCAACCAGAGAGCAAGAGAGTCACAAGGAGAAGATGCTTGGAGGAAGAGCAAAGGAGAGTGGTAAGCTTTCAGAGGCAGGTGGAGCACAGAGTGAGGTACTGCAAAGTAGTTTGCACCCTGGAAAATGTGGAAGAGTGAATCACAATATCTCTAAGAAAAATCGGCACAGTGTTTTCCTACATTTTTCTCTTAACACATTTTCCTCCCAGGCTCAGATATTTACAGTGACAAGAGTCTCAATAAAATAATATTCAGGAAAACTGGATGGAAATGACTTCACCTGACCTGTCAGTTTGTTGGACATGTGGCACTCCATGAAGTACATTCAGCTGCCCCAGTCATAGATGCTCAGGAGCTCCAAGAAGGAGCAGAAATACGTGCTGGTACAGAGGAGCACCCCCAGGCTTTTCCTGGGCTCTTTCTGCACACTTCACATTTACGTGACACCTGGTGTGGAGTCCCACATTCATGCTTCCAACTTCAGCTGTTACTCTGGAGGGCCCATCGCATGCAAAACATTGCTTTGGGCCCTAAACAGAAACATCAAGTTGTTTAACACACAGCCATACAGGAAAGCTTACACAAACCTAGGGGTGGAGTGGGGAGAGGTGGAACTTGCATATTATTTTACAAAGGGCTCCTTTGCACATTTTCAACAGTGATCTTCAAAACACCTTCTACAATATGGGAGTGACCAAGAAAAATCTCCTGGATAACACAAAAAGAAGTTTGGGGAAGTACAAGGGAGAGAGAAGTGACTTCCAGGGGAAGATGATAATGAATAGCTTCATGGAGGAAATGGCATTTGAGAAGCACCTTTAGGATAACTAAGATTTTTACAGATTTCATTCAATGCACTTGTGCTGAGTTCATACTAAGTCATCTGCTCATCTAGGAACCGAGGGTCAAGTCCCAGCTCAGCTGCTCTGTGATTATGGGACCTTTAGTTCATGTTTTTTTTTTTTCCTTTCTTGAGCCTTGGTTTTCTTATTTGCAAAATGGGGCTAATAAACACCTCGTCTGTTTCATCAGGGTGTTTTGAGGGTCACAGGTGATAATGCGTAATGGAGTCCTTTATAAAATAATGGCACAACTGACATTTGGTGGGTGTTTGCCATGTGTCAGGTACTTATCTCAGTGCTTCCCACATACTGAGCCACTTAATTCTTATGACAATTCCATGCAATAAAAACTGATGTTTAGAGAGGAAAGTAACCACCAGCCTTCAAGAGGCACTTGAAGAGTAAGTTGCCAAGTTAGGATTGAAGGCAGCTGGTCTCCCAGGATAGTTGTATTCATGACTGTGTGAGATAATTATTATTGAGCTGCCTCTCTTCCCATCAGCTCTCATTCAGTGAGTACCTCCACATGCTGCACATCCCTTCCTAGATAAGGACTGGCAAGGCACATTATTTATTTTTCAGCAGCTCTCATTAATATTTTGCTCAGTGTCTGGCTTCTCCTGCTGGTCTTTTTGCAATAGCAGGGAAGGTCAGAGCCAGATCAAATTCTACCTCATGTTCTGAGAAACTCCCTACCCTTATGAATGTCATAGTCCTGTGGCCTATGTGCATGTGTACATATACATGCATCATATACACACAAGCACACCATATACACACATGCACATATGTGCACATACGCAAATACTTTCTACACATCAACCTTTTTACTAGACACTAGACGCTTCTCTTAGTTCTCCCATCAACTCTGCAGGTAGATATTACCACCTAAGAGGAAACAGGACCAGTGAGGTTAAGTATTATGCCCAAGGTTACACACACAGCCAATATTCACATTCAGGTAGGCCAGACTCCAAAATTTCATACTTTGTGAATGATTTTAAAAACTGGTTTATACAATTTTTACTGCCTTTAATTTGCTTCCTTCATAATTTCTTTCCCTAATCTTTAAGGGGTTCTAATCTGAGGCCCACCTTCTCCTTATTTAGTTTTTTGGGTTTTTTGTTTGTTTGTTTGTTTTTTAACAGGTATTTGCTGGCGAATCAGCTTTCTGTAAGGAGAAACAGAAACCACAAAAACAGAAATGACGGCCCCAAACACGGCACATTTCAGAGAGTCACAGCTGTCCCGCGCAAACTCGACTTTACCTGCGTGCTACTCCTCAAAGGCGCCCTTGCAGTTACTTAGCTGCATGGTTTGAGGCTGGGCGGGAGATTCAGGCAGGCTCCGAGGGCACAGCGAGTGGAATCCGCTCAGCTCAGTGAACCTGAAGTTGTTCATTGCGGAGCCGGTGCCGGGTGGAAGAATTCAAGGAATGCAGCCTGATGCCACCGGCAGCCCCAGAGACCGGTCAGGTGACAGGCTGCACCTCACCCAGCGGAGTTACCTCCCAGTGCAATGCTCTGTTTCCTTGGGTGAAACACAAAGCCTGCCCCAGTAAAGGAGAGTTGTTTTTAACAGAGAAAACAGAACTCCCTGTGTTCGTGAAAATCTATACTTTCCCAGGGAAGAATGGGGGGCGGGGGCGAGCCGCGCAGGAAACAATTTTCAACAGGAACTCAAGCAGGTGAACGGAATGGCTGTAGGGAGCCACCTCTCCGAGCCCCAGGGGAGGAGAAGAGAACTGCAGCTTCATTAACACTTCCCTCTCCCTGAGATTTCACACACGTTTTGGAAACTGAGTGTTCCTCCAGTAAGGGTCACCTCCTAAAGAAAGTATCCCTTTGCTCTGCTTCTAGAGTAATATTGTTGAAAGTTTAAGTATGCGGGAAATTGCTAAGAAACAGAACAAACTTCACAACATACATACTCTCTTTTTTTCGTTATTTGCTGGAAAGCTTTTCATAAAAATCCACGTGGACCAGATATACTGGGTTTGTACTTTTAAATATTGCAGCAACACTCAGGAAAAAGGTTTATCCTGCTTAATCTACTGACACTCCGATGGAGAAAAAGGCACTGGAAACTTCCTTTATTTTTTTTTTTGAGACGGAGTCTCGCTCTGTCGCCCAGGCTAGAGTGCAGTGGCCGGATCTCAGCTCACTGCAAGCTCCGCTTCCCGGGTTCACGCCATTTTCCTGCCTCAGCCTCCCGAGTAGCTGGGACTACAGGCGCCCGCCACCACGCCGGGCTCATTTTTTGTGTTTTTTTAGTAGAGACGGGGTTTCACCGTGTTAGCCAGGATGGTCTCGATCTCCTGACCTCGTAATCCGCCCATCTCGGCCTCCCAAAGTGCTGGGATTACAGGCTTGAGTCACCGCGCCCGGCCCCTTTATTCTTTAGTTAACAGTGCACTTTAAAAAGCAAGGTTTTTAAAACTGCATTCTTCTCGACCCGTAAATCATCTGTTCCTGTGGTAGATTTATAGTTATCAAATCATCTCTCTTCTGGCAATGCGTACAGGCAGCTATCCTGCAGATAATCTCATCTTTGTGCTCACTGAAAGGGTGTGATGTGTCTACTCAAAGGGTGTGGTCAGGGTGGCCACAGTTAAAACAGGTCATGTGTTCCAGGAGAACGACCTCATAAATCTGCCTAGACAGTTGGTGATCAATCATATTTTTATGACATCCACATTTGGAGAACTATCCCCTTGAAGAATCCCTTTATAAAAATCAAGAATCCAGTCATTCATGAGTAGCTGTATTTTTTCATTAGTAGTTTTCTAATTTACAAGATACTAATGAAGGCTCCTCTTTTAATGGAATAGATGATAATGCTTTAGCCTTCCCTTTTAATCCTTTATTCCTTATTACTGATTTTTAATCCCTAGATTTTTATACAGTTTTATTTTTTAAAGGGTGTAGAGTCCTGAATTAGACACTCTATGGGACTCCAGTAAGAAGAGCAGAGTGATAAGAGTATGGGAACCCAGACTCAACTGGGTTCCAAACTCAGCTATGCCATTATCTGCAGTGTAAATGTGGGCAGGTTAATTAGACTCCCTGAGCCTGGAGTTCCTCCTTTGCTCCTGACGATTGTGATATGGGTTGTTGGGAGGTTTAAGGAGATGATGTAAAACATTCAACACAGAACCTGGCATGTGACAACCATAGAAGAAGTGTCAGCATTCATATCCTTAGGAGTACTATTATTCCTATAGATGGTTCACCAGTTAACACATCCCCATGCCATACCTTTTAAAAATTAATACACAACTGTACTGTTCACCAAATTGAGTTCACAGAGCTAAACATGTTTAGGTTGTTTCCATTTGTGCCATATTTATACCTTTGTTATCCTTTCCCTATCTTAGTCATCCTGTCCTTATCTCTGGGTTGTTCACTTTTCATCTGTAAACTTCACTCTCTTGAATGTGTCCCTGTTGATTTTGGTAACCTTATCTTGTTTCCTGGAGAGATAGTTTTACCATGATCCTACCCCCACCAAGGTTGAACAATAACAGTGAATGTTTTTACAGAGCAGAAATGGGCCAGGATACAATGTATCTCAAACTTTTTGTGGCTGGGTAATCCAAACACCTGAGTTTTCCATGGAAGTGTAGAACTCCTTCTCATGTTTGTTAGTGAGAAAGGAGTGCCCGTCCAGGGCTCCAGCTACTAACTTTACTACTTTTCAAGGTGACCTACACTCAATGCCCACTAATAAAACATTAGTGGCTTACTCTATTATGCATCTGTAGATTCTGCTAAATGAAAATATACGTGAACCGGAGGACTTAATCACCACACTATTGGGACACTGCCTGTAGAATAATTGAAACTCTTGGGGGAGATTTCAGTCACCATAATTAACTCAAGAAACCAACTTATTCTGAAGAATTCAGTCTCTAGCTTACAACTTAGGTTAGGCTATACCCTGGTTTCCTCACTTCAGAAAACTCTAGAACGGCAATATTTGTTTACATTATGCTTTAGACTACATTACTCTGCATCAAAACATTTTTGTTTTATTCACTTGCATTAAAAATGCTCATTAACAATCTGAGACCTATTTGGGCTCTAGAAACTTTCAATAAATTTCTCAGATTTTTCCCTTGAAAGAAAGGATTAAAGATTCTTTTGAAGGAGCATCTTTTTCACACCGCATGAAAGGACTACAGGAGTTCCCATGGGAATTGGCTGCATACATTTCAGCCCTTCCCACAAGATGTCTATTGTTCCCTGGATGTCTCTGGGCTTCCTTGGCTGTGGCATGCTGCTACAGTTCACTTCTACTGAAAGCCTCTGAGGCTGGCTTATTCCAAGCGATGCTAAAGGACTCAGCCCTGTCTTTTTGCTAGAGTGCATACAATCAAAGTTTGTAGCAAGCTTATTTCATAAGTACATGAAAAAAATAGGTTTGGTGACCTATTTAGTCAAGAGCCCAAAAAATGACTTAATTTTGATTATGTATTTCAACTTATTAAAACACAAATAGGAAACATTTCCTTCAAAAAGAATGAGAAATATTTATCTTCAAGTCTAATAAGCTTTCCAAAATCAAGGCTTTTGTGACTTGTCATAGTTTTATAGTGTATTCATTTTCACCTGTAAATTTTGACTTTGCAGGTCATTTTTGCTCTGGAATAATACAAATCTTGCTGAAAAATCCTAATTCAAATTCTGTGGGTTTGTTCTTCCAGATAATGTACCCAAACTCTCAAACTACATGGAAAACTCAATGTTAAATGTATCTTCATTTACATTTAAGTTTCGTATACTAAATATCTATATGACCAACTTAAATATTTCTCTAAGTATTTTTTCTGCTTTCTAAATCGAAAATATATAAATGTCGTTTAATCCAATCATTGATTACTACAGCAATTTAAGTGTGTATCTGAAAGAATTAAAAAGTGGTTAGATTTAATTATGATTCGTAAGACATCTGAAACACCAAAGGAAAAAACGGCAGCAAAAACAAACAGCAATGGTGACCCTGTTCAACCCACTGACTGTAATGATGCTACAGTATTTAATTTTCTTTGAAAATTCGTAGGCAGAGCCAGTTTCTTTGCTGGTTGCAAAATGTTGATTGAGGTAAACAAAAGTATAAAATAGAAATGAGACTAGATTATTACAGAGTAAAACAAAAATGCACATAATATGAATCTAGAAGCACAGCTTTCTGCTCCTGAGGCCTAGAGACATGTTTTAATAACCCACAGAGAAGTGGCATTTTTACCCTAATAACCAAAATGCCTGCATACATGGCTAGACACACAGCTCCCAAATGTGCTTTATCTGCATAATCAGCCAGCCCCTGGAAGTTTCTCAGCTCCCTTCTCCTATCTCCCACTCTTTGCCTCTCTGCAGCCTCTGACATTTACTTTAATTAGCTTTTGTTTTTGCTGAACAAAAGGACATGAAAGAAGATAGCCATACCTCTTTGCACAGGAATCTCTGGTCATAGAAAATAGAAGGCAAAATCCTTGATCTTTAGAGCACTGCAGCTGGGACCCATGACCATGCTCAGAGGCAGTCTTGCAGCTGCTGCCCAGTCCTGTGGGCTGCAGCCGCGTCTCCCTGAGCTGCTTGTCAAGCCAGTGGTACACTTCATTCCCTCCCCATGGACTCACCGTGCGGAATCGGGCAAATGAGTAACTTCTCTTCTCTCTCCCAAACTTCTGCTTAGACCTAACAATTGGCACAAAGCTTCACTTATTTCTACACTAGATTTACAGATTTCTCTGAGCAGATCTGTAGTTTGAAAGAATTGGATTTGCCTAACAACCAGTAATTTAGGTTCTGTTAATGAATAACTAACTTTAAGAAATCAAGGAAGTTTTAGGTTAATATCAGATGTGAGGCCTTTTAGTAGACATCAGGAAAAAGGCTTGGGGAGGGAATGGAGGAAGGGAAGCACTGGAATGAGGTGGTATTTAAGCCAAATATGATAGAAGAAAAATACCACAAAAGAAGCAAAAGGGCTAGTGTGAAGGAGCAAAAGTCTATTTATACTATTGGTATTGCTTATGAAACACACAACTGAATGAAACTTCCCTGGTAGCACTAGAGGTTTTTCTGAACCCTCATGGTTCCTTCTTGCATCCACCCAAATTTCTAATTCCCTTTCTTTTACCATCCAAATATAGAACTCCTCTTTTCAGACCTAATTCACTGAGGATCCCTCACAAGCACTCCCATATCGCCTCATCTCTCTCTCGTAAGGAGAATGCACTTTAAAACCTCTAATTCATAAATTAATTGATGGTGCCCAGTGGATTATTATATCTGGAGGCTCTTCTCTCCCTTTAAGTGTATGACATGGGCTTTCTTCCCTTATTGATCTGAGGTTTTGCCTACACTCAAAGTGATAAAATATTTCTGAGCCTCTCCCGACCAGAGCTTTCAGTCAAACCATGTGAGGGTAACAGGGAGGGTGGGGGCAGGGGGCTGCAGTGGGGAAAGTCAGGTGTAAGGTGTTCAAGTGGACATATAAAGATTTCCATTCAGTGGCAATCATGCTGCATGTAAAAAAATTACTGGCCCAATTAAAAGGACTCTTCATGGGGTGAAGATTACTTTCTCTTCTGTTTGCCACTCAACATTCACTTACTCTACTTCTAGTCCAAAACTGCACCCATATTTCCTTTGGGAAACCATGTCCTTTGGGTAGAGTTGATGCCCATAAACAGGATGAGCCTTAATTGGTCTTACCCAAATAAGAGTAATTGCATTCCTGTGATCATAGTGACTAATGCAGAGGAGGTGTGTGACTCCTTCTAGGCC